CCCGGCTGGCGGCGGGGGCGGCGCGGCCCGGCGGCTCCTCCGCGGCGCCGGGGGGCGGCGGCAGGAAGAGGCCGCTGCTCACCCCGCTCTGCAACGGGCTCATTAACTCCTACGAGGACAAGAGCAACGACTTCGTGTGGTGAGCGCGATATGTCGCGATATGTCGCTGGGGGAAGCCGGGGCGCCGCCATGCCGTCGGGAAGCCTGGCGAGTGTGGAATAGCGGCGGGAGGAGGGAGCAGCCGGCAGCCCCTCCTGGCGCTGGAACGGCTGCTGCCCTCCGGCGATTGTGGCTTTGGGGTTTTCCCTCTTTTGTGCCTCTCTCTGTCAGAAATAGTGTGGCCAGCAGGGCTAGGGAAGTGATTGTCCCTGTGCTGGGCTCTGGGGAGGCCACACCTCCAGTCCTGTGTCCAGTTCTGGGCCTCTCCGTTCGAGAAGGACATGGAGCTGTTAGAGCGGGTCCAGAAAAGGGCAGCGGAGCTGGGGAAGGGGCTGCAGCACCAGGACCAGCTGGGAGGGGAGATGGGTAGCCTAGGGAGGAGAAGCGGCTGGGCGGGGGGGACTTTATCACTTTTTAGAACTTTGTGACGGGATGTTGCAGCCAGGTGGGGATCAGACTCCCCTCTCTGATAGCCAACAACAGGACAAGTGGACACAGCCTTAAGCTGCGCCAGGGGAGGTTTAGGTTGGATGTTAGGAAGAATTTCTTTTTAGAAGGCTTGATTATATATTGAAATGGGCTGCCTAGGGAGGTGGTGGAGTCATTGTCCCTGGAGCTATTCAGAGAATAACTGGACATAGCATTCTGCTAGTTGACACCACTAGTTGACATGGTGTTGTGGGGTCATAGGTTGGACTTGATGATCTCAGAGGTCTTTTCCAACCTAACTGATTATCTGATTTTGTCTGGTTTTGGTCCTGTGTAGCAGCATTGCCTCCACGCTCTCTATTTTTAAGCAAAATCAGGTTATTCCTGGCAGGTTCCTCCTTGAGTGCACCCAAGTTGTTGGAAAGGCCCTGCAGCAGGAGATGTTTCCTCACAGCGTTCTGACATCCAGCAACTGCCTTGTTTTCCTGGACAATGTGACCTCGAGTGGTCTGGAGCTCTGTCATCTTGGGAAGAGGATTCAGCAAAGGATTAAGTGCCCCTGTGGATGGGACTCCAAGGAGCCTCATTATAGCTCCAGCAAAGCTGGCTTGGTTTGCCTGTGTTGCTGGGAAAGATTGTCGAGTTTGAAACAGTAATAAGTTTTGTGTCAGGCAGGCACCTAAAAGCCAGATTAGTAGGGGATTTCTTCTGTGATGGTTTAAACATTTTTCAGATGTTGTGTTCTAGCATCCAGCCGTCCAGCTGTAGCTCATGGCTGGAAATCACCTTTCAACGTAATTGGCAAACTAAGGCCCGTGGTTTGAGAACTGTTGGTAATTTGCAGTTTTGAAGAGAACCTGTTGCTGGTGGGTTTCAAATCTTCCAACGTAAGAAGTAAGTTTGATTTTTGTAGCTGGCTGGATGTGCTAAAATGTGAGAACAGGAAGTAAAGTTAGGTCCTTAAAGAGAAAGGCAAACAGGGAACAGGTAGTGGGAGAAAGATAAAGTTGTAGGAAAGTCATGTATGGAAAGGAAATAGTAAAAAAAAAAAAAGATTATAGGTGGGCCACAGCTTCCAAGATGATTTTGATGGCTCTAACATAAGCTCTGACTTACAGGTGAGGATTGGATGTGAGGCATCTCCCAGAAGACAGGTATTGTCTCAAAACCCTCTAGGCTTAACTTTACAGCTTGTAAAGTGTTTAGCAGAGTTGATAGGAAATACCTTTGCTATTGAAGTGAAAACCTGAAGCTGCTAAGAAGTTAGTGGCAGAACAAACAGTAAGTAATTCTTGTTAGGAGTAAGTAATAGTCAGAAATTACTGCTTATTACTGTAGTTAGTAGTTTGCTCAGTAGCAGAATGGGATTGAGAGGACTGTGGTCATCAGCTGATGCCCTGCTCTGGTTCTAGGCCATGTTGGGTGGATTTAAGAGCTCTTGGTGTGAGCTGGGTTGCTCACAGGTTTTCTGGTGATAGGGTATGAACACAGTTACAAGTGCCCATTCTCCTCTGTTCTCTCTTCTCTTACACTCTGGCAGTAGAGTTCTGCCAGCATGGCTCCCTGCCCTTTCCAGTCAGCCCTTATTTCCTATTTTGTTGTCTGTTGTAAAAATGAGGGGTTTGGAAAGGAAATTACACCCATAACCAATTTGTCGGCTTGGTGTATTTTTAGATGGTTCAGAAAGATGAGGTTCTTGCTTTTTTTCTGCAGGTAAGTACTGTGCATGCTTCAAGGAGAACCTGTAATTAGCTGTTTTCTCCTCATTGAGAAGCACTACTGACTGAACAAGTGAGAGGAAAGAAATCAGCCCAGTAGTACTCAGGGCAAAGTGTCTTTTCTTAGTATTTACAAGAGCCACATTGAGCACACTGAAGTGCGGGTCAGAAGCTTTAAGAGCAGACAATGATTATAGTTAACTTGGGTTTTTCACTGCTCTATATTTCTGTGGGCTAACGGGCTTGTTCTTACTTATTATTATTCTAGCTTCAAATAACAGTATCCATCTTTTTTAATTTGAGTTAGCAATACAGTTATGTAGAAATAAACCAAACTGGGCAGCTCTGGAGTTTTGAGCAATGTCCAAGAAGGCAGGTGTGTGTTTGTTTAAATAATTGATTTAAACAAGCTTTACGTATCTCAATGTGAGAAACAGAAGTTTCCCCCTATGCCCTTTTTGCCTCTGTAAGGATAATTCAAGGTGCTGCCAGCTGCAGAGAGCACTTGATAATTTTTCTGAACATGAGCTGTGAGTTGCTTTTAGCCACAGCTGTAAACTCAGTGGTAGATTATGCCTGTACCAGGTGGAAGGTGGGAAAGAGTAAAGAAGTTTGGGCGAGTTTTGAGCATCAAGGTGCAAGTGCAAATACTCTCAGTAATGTTAATATGTGAGACCTCCCTGCCTGTCTTCTGAAAGCACTGTCTCAAGTGAGGCAGAGGCTCTAGAGTAAACATTGTCATGTATTGCTGCTTTGGGTTGTGAAATGTTTAACAAGTGTATGCTCAGGAGTTTGCAAATGTCTCCTGTTTGTGGTGTATGTCACCTGGAAATGTGCAGCTCCAGTCAGGACTGCAGGTAGGTCTGACTTAGTGGACAACTTTATTATAAAAGGGAAAACTTCGTTTCTCTTAGTGCAGGCTGCAGAATATAAAGGTATTTTTGTGCTGCTTCTGTAGCCAGGTGTCTTTCCACTTGCCTGGAGTGTGTCTGAAAGGGATTTCTCTATTCAGGTGATTTTCTGCTGCTCAGCAATGTAATTGCTTAGTTTTCCCAGGCCTTGTATTAGCCCTTCCAATTAGTGGTTGACTAAACCTCTTTAAAACCAGTTACTATCTGCTTGGCTCCCTGGATGGAGTGGCTCTTAGCTGTCTCTTCAGTGGCTGCTTCATACCAGTCCTTGTTTCTGAGCTCTGGCACAAATCATGTATGGAAGAGGGGGTGTTGTGTGCTGATCTGGAGTTCAGCACCCAGTACCACAGCTCAGCTGTGGGAAGGGCTGTATGCCACCTGGACTTGCAGGTTCATGGATTTTCAAAACCAGTTCTTTCCTCAGCTGGTTACCTGTTAATCCAGGCATGGGCTGAGTGTGGTTGTTCCCATTTTTGTGGTCTGGAAAGCAATTTTAGTAAGGAATATTGCAAATTTGCCCTGAAGTCACAAACCAAAAACACAAAAAGCTGTTTGCATACCATATACAAGGAGTCTTACTACCTGTTGTTATATTAGAGCTTCACAGTGAGTAGATAGTAACAGCAGTGATCTTTAACCAGGCCACCTTCCATGGGAAAGACAGACCCTGCAGCAAGTCCTGGTCTCTGATTAGACCAGAGAGGAGATGAATAGGAGGCAGGCAGTATAATAAATCTTGTTTGCTGTTGAAGTGTGTTTAAATATCATAGTGACCACTTCAGCTAGGTGTTTGTGTAGCAGTAGGGTGACATTAGCACTCTTGAGAGGTACCTGGAAAACAACTGATAAAACTTAGAGCCATGAACTTGATTAAAGTGGATGTTTAAAATGTTTGAGGTCTGCCCTGCAGAGAAAGAATGGTAAACCTTTGCAGTGCTGGATGAAAAAAATAGTGTTTATTAGATACTGATGCCTTATTTCCCAGAGATCAGAGACATTTTTGACTTGCTGAAGTTATTTGCATCCTTTTAACCTGACTGCTGCTTAAGACAAGTAGAGAATAAGCCAGCTCATGCACAGAAGCCTTGATTTCACCATACTTCTACTTCCCTGTTGCAGTGTACACTGCAAAGTGTAATATGTCGCAAGTCCCCATCGCTCCACTTCTTTCTTAACTTTCTCTTTGTGTTAGGTTAGCTTCAAACAGCTGTTGTGTAGCAACTTTCACATGTTGCAGTCAGCTTGGCTTCAGTATGTATTAAAATATATCAATCTTGTTTCCACTTGTAAATCAGGGAGCATTTCAGGGGAAACAGTTCTTAATGGAAACTTCAGTACCTTTAGTGATATCCCTGGTACTGAGTAGCTCTGTTTGTTGGCTCAGATTGCTTTTTCTCAACTATTTTGGCTCTGTCACTTCTCCAGTCAAACTGGTATGA